GACATCTGAGCATTCAGCCTGGAGGCAGGCGGTGCATCACGGCCTCTCCCAATTTGGAGAGACCCTTGTCCAGCAGGCCGAGGCAAAGAGGAAGTCACAAAAGCAGCAAAACTAGGGAGCTGGACAGGGGACAGATTGGATTTGTCTTCAGTGTGGAAGAGATTGTCACTCTTGAACTGGCCTCCTCAGCCACACTAGACGCTGTTCCGAGTCCTCCATACAGAGCACGCTACCATATTCGAGACTGAAGGATGCCTAACTAACTTGAATAAAGTAACATAGTACAAATATGTACAGGCAAATCCTTTTACGTGATGTAACCAGAAGCACTCTGAAACACATGTTTGAAATTAAATTCATTTTAGGGTCCTTAAACCTTTAAGATTCAGTGGCTGAAATCCTATTGCTGCTCCTGGCTGCCTCACCCCCTCTCAACATCAACCACCTGGCCTAGGGGGAGAGAGAGCTTACAGGCCGGAGCTGCGCCTGGGACCGCACCAATTTTAGGGTCCTTAAACCTTTAAGATTCAGTGGCTGAAATCCTATTGCACCATTACATGTGCTTAACCTGAGATTACATCCATTGTACTTACGTATGTGAGTGCTGATATGGAAGTGCTATCCCCAAAGCACTTCTCCTAGCACATTGCATAATTAGTCATGATGGGGACAGGTGATCCATTGCACAATTCCAGACTGTATTTCCTTGGCATAATGCTGGCACATTTACTCTGGTGTAGCTACTCTGATGTCATGCCATCATGAACATGATACTGGCCAATGGGTAAATACTATCATGACTTGCACAGTTGTTAAAGCTCTATTGTTTTGTGATATAACTGTTTTAATTTTGAGAAAGAATTAAAGTGTGAAATGTGTCCGTAACATGTTTTTGTGGGTTGCATAGTTTGAATTGAGATACAGTGGTTTATATATGACTGTTCTAATTATGCCACTCATGCCCTTTAAAAAAAGTCATACTGGTTAAACCAGTAATACTCACTTTGCCATTTGAGTACATTTTCCAGAAATTCGTAGTTGTTTTGGAGGGGGGGGGAGTGGAATATTTTTTGACATCTATATTCCTCTAGAGTGTCAACAGGAACTCCATTGGGAGGCCCAAGTTTCAACCTCCTCAGCTGTTGTACACATCTTTGGTTATAAGACAGAGTTCTGTTTCATTTTTGTTTTTCTTTTCAGGGAAGGACAGGGAAAGATAAATTCAGCATGAGTTCACATGGGCTTATTTCCTTCATTTTTATTTACCTGCTACCTCCAGTGATAACATACCACCAGCCAAGCCATTATTTTTAAATTCATTACAGGAAAGATCTGACATGAGAGACTTAATAATGAAGTGTGCTATAGGAGAGATCTGCTTGGTGTTTAGCGTTTTGTTTTTTGTATTCTGTTTCACCATGATCCTTTGACAGATGGAAAAATAGAAGTGATTTGAATCTATTGCTTTGAGTCTTACCTTCTGGAGCTATAGAAAAACAGACAGTTCTTCAGACAATAAAATATAACTTTCATAATTCTTTTGTTCCCAGGCTAAACATACCCATTCTTTCAACTCCCTACAGGCTTTGTTTTCCAGATATTTTACCATCCTGGCCATCCTCCTCTCAACATATTCCAGTGTGTCCTTCTTAAATTGTGGTGCCCAGAACTGGACACGGTATTCTAGATGGCATCTGAACAAAGCAGAATAGATCAGTGGGCAAAATCCTGTTCATGTTGGCATAACATAAAGTTATGCTGGTGTAAATATGCTGACAACAAGAAATTGTGCTATTTAATTGCACAGTTGGTTGTGTGTCTCAAGCACAACTACTTGTATAATGCAACTGCAGAAATGCTGTGCGGATAGCACTTCCATCTTGATGCTTTCACAACTACCATGGGCCCAACCTTGAGTTTCATGCACGTAGTTGCACAGTGGGATTTTGGCCATCAACATAAGAACATAAGAAGAGCCCTGCTGGATCAGGCCAAGGGCCCATCTAGTCCAGCTTCCTGTACCTCACAGTGGCCCCACCAAATGATAGAAAGCATGGCTAACAACAAGGCCAGTGGAGTTGATGGCATTCCAATGGAGCTATATAAAATCTTAAGAGGACGCTGTTAAGGTGCTACACTCAATATGCCAGCAAGTTTGGAAAACTCAGCAGTGACCAGAACCTCTTAACGAGGGTGAAAAAGGAGAACACAAAAAAAGCTCAACATCAAAAAACAAACAAACTCCCATCACCTCCTGGCAAATAGAAGGGGAAGATATGGAGGCAGTGACAGATTTTACTTTCTTGGCTCCATGATCACTACAGATGGTGACAGCAGCCACGAAATTAAAAGACGCCTGCTTCTTGGGAGGAAAGCGATGACACACCTCAACAGCATCTTAAAAAGCACCGACAAAGATCCGCATAGTCAAAGCTATGGTTTTTCCTGTAGCAATGTATGGAAGTGAGCGCTGGACCATAAAGAAGGCTGACCGGTGAAGAATGGATGCTTTTGAATTGTAGTGCTGGAGGAGAATCTTGAGAGTCCCCTGGATTGCAAAGAGAACAAACCTATCCATTTTGTAGGAAATCAAGCCTGAGTGCTCACTGGAAGGACAAATGCTGAAGCTGAGGCTCCAGTACTTTGGCCATCTCATGAGAAGACTCCCTGGAAAAGACCCTGATGTTGGGAAAGTGTGAAGGCAAGAGGAGAAGGGGATGACAGAGGATGAGATGGTTGGACAGTGTCATCGAGGCTACCAACATGAATTTGACCCAACTCCGGGAAGCAGTGGATGACAGGAGGGCCTAGCGTACTTTGGTCCATGGGATCATCAAGAATCAGACATGACTTAATGACTAAACAATGACAAAAGCAACACTTCTCTCACCCTACCAAGTTTGTGACTATTAAAGAGAGAGAGAGAGAGATTGAAGATTAGTCTGGCATGACTTATTTTTGAGGGAATTGTGCTGGGTCTTAGAAATCATATCATTCCTTCTTAAATGCTTACAGATTAATTGCTTAATGGTCTGTTGTATCAACTTTCCTGCTATTGATATCAAGCTGGCAACTCAGTAGATGTCAAACGTTCTCCCCACCCCTTTTGAAGATGGGACACAACATCTTCTCCCATCTTTGGGAACCTTACCTGTTCTCTGAGAATTATCAAAGTTTGTAAACAGTGTCTGTGATTACATCTACAGTACAAGTTCCTTTAGTGTCCTTGGATGCAAGTCATCTGGCCCAGGAAATGGGTATTTATTTCAAGTAAGTACTGTAGATGTTTCTCTACCACACCTTTATCTCTCTTGGATGGCAGTCTTCCTTGTATTTTCTCTTGCTCGAAGCATAGTGGTGTCCAGTTGGTCTGGTTGAAATTGATTCTTTTCTCCCATGTTCCTCAGTGCATCCTTTCTAATCTCCCAAAAGTGAATTGGGAAACTATGAATGAGGATGCTTAGAAGGATCCCTGATTTGAAATATTTTATTTTATTCATATCACATCTTTTTCCCTAAAAAGGGAATCAAGGTGGCATACAACAGCTAAAAACATGTTCTTAGAACCCCTTGAGAACCCATGGAAATCAATTAACGCTTTGTTCCATGAGCAGCATCTTTGTTCCATGGAACATGGATCCAGCCTTTAGTTTTTGTTGTAATAGGTAAACACAGTGGCTGCATTGGAAGATTGTTGTTGTTATATGTTGTCAACTGCCTCTGATTTATGGCAGTTTTGGAAGTGAGTGACTTCCAAAATGTCCTGTTCTCCACTGTCCAGCTCAAGCCTTAATGGAGTCAATCCATCTCATATTTAGTCTTCCTCTTTTCCTGCTGCCATCATCTTTTACTAGCATTGCTGTTCTTTTCCAATGATTCTTGTCTTCTTATGATAGGCCCAATGTATGACAGCCTCAGTTTTGTTACTTTAGCTTCCTGAGAAAGTTCAGGTTTGATTTGATCTAGGGCCGACTTATTTTCCTGCCAGCTTTCACATGCCATATATAGCACTCAGGGACACAGTAGCATGAATTGTCTTGACTTTAGTCTCCAGTGCTCCAGTCTTTGTGCTCAATGATCCTATCTGGGGAATAGTTCTTGGTCTCAGTCTTCTTCAGATTTCTTGTCTGCAGTCTCCATTTAGATTGATGATTGAACCAAGGTACAGAGGACCCTTGACTTACAGACGGCTTGCCTTACAGACTTTTTGAGTTAAAGACTTCTCTGGCCGCAAAATTTAGGTTTGACTTGCAGACTGAGATTTGACTTACAGACCAGAAAAAAACCAAACTGGAACAAAAACGGCCTGTTACGGGATTAATCGGTTTTCAATGCACTGTAGGTCAATGGAGACTTGACTTACAGACTTTTTGACTTGAGAACCGCCTTCCAATACGGATTAAGTTCTCAAGTCAAGACCCCACTGTATCTGAAATATTTAACTCTTTCCATTTCTTCATTGTCAGCTGATGGTCGCATTATTCCTGAAGAGAGTGGATTTGTCTTAGTCTGGTAACTCACTTGTGACAATTCTGCCTTGGGTGGCCTCACTAGGAATCTAGACTCATTATGGAGTCTAGACTTCCGATGGTATAGCTCTCACCTTCTGAAACACTCAAACTGCTTCTCCACATTAAGGTGTGCATCTAAGGGGAGGACTGGAGGATTACTTCTTGTGATTGTTTGCTTTAATATATAGAAGAGACCATAAGAAGTATTAGGTTTGGTCTGAAATCATTGTGTTACCATTGTTACCTCTTATGAGCATCAAATAAGAAAGATCTTTGCGCACTTTCAGACCATTATTTGGAAGGTGTATGAAGTAAGGATTATAAGGTTCTCTTCCTGCTAATTGTGTGGTAAGTTTTGCTGGAAGAGTGCTGTGCACTTTAATGCATTTGTTGTGTACGTCTATGAAAATAAATTGGTTTGTGTTTCAAGATTTGTGGCTAATTCTGCAGAGGGTAAGCTAAATAATTTTTTCTTCTTTGTTTTTAAAGGTTCAGAAGAAGAAATAGCCAAAGATCTGCAATATGTTTCTCTAGAATCTTACGTTCAACAAGATGAGGATCAGCAGCAGGGATGGGTGTCATGGGCCTGGTCTTTTGTACCTGCTATTGTGGGCAATGATGATGAAGAGGGAGATTTTATTGGAGCAGATGAAGGAACAACAGTGAATCAGCAGAAATTATCAGCAGTCAAAGATCCCATTGTTTCCATAGGATTTTATTGTACAAAGGCTACCATCACTTTCAAGGTAAATATTTAATTTATAATGGAATTATATGTCTTTTTAGGTGAACAATAGTGAGGGCCACTTATTTCTTAAATAGTATGAGAAAATGCATGTAGGATCACTTTAATTAAATGCTTTTAACTGTGTGATCTTGTACATATTTACTCAAGTGTAAGCCTGATGGCCTAAACATGTATAGGGTTGGACCTTAATATCTGGTAATATTTTTTAACGAAAATAAAATAATCATTAAAAACAAAAAACAAATGTAGTGTAGTAGTTAGACTGTTGATGTTGGCCTTGAGGACCTTGGAACAATCAGTGTTGCTTAACCTGTCCTTCTCTCACAGTGGAATTGTGAGAACAGTAGAGTAGGCTGGAGGGATGTGAGGAGTGTTGGAAACCCTTTAAGAAAGAAGCAGGGTAAACATACTGTAATAAGAAATTTCTAAATAAAATTAGAAAATGTTATTTACTGTATTTTATATTTTAATTTTTTTAAAGATATATATTTACCAGCCATAAGGGATCCCAGGGTGAGATACATAAAAATAACAAAAATGACATTACAAAATAAGAGGGATTTTAAAAAAGGGGCAAAAAATACATCAGATTTAAAAAGCATTTTAAATGTATAGGACAGAATCATGTTGGTAGTCCCAACTAGAGAAAAATTGAATCAGTTGTTGAATGGTAAATCAGCATCTATGTCAGTTCTATTGATTCAGTGGCGGAAATCCTGTTCCTTAGCATATGGAATTTATGGAGCAGTTGGCTTATCAAATTTCCACTGATTCAGTGGGCCTCCTCTAGTTGGGACTTACTATGCGAAGCAGCCACAGGAACTGCTCTTATTGGGACTAATAAATTCTAGTCAGGGTAGCTCAGCAAAAAGCAACATTTCCATTTGGCACAAAAAGAAGTAAAGTTAAAAACAATCATTTGACTAACAGGAGAGCATTCTTAAAGTTGGCGCCCCATCCTTCTCTTTTGTAAGTGCATAAGGTACTTCTTCCTCTGATTGTGACATGAGGAGAACCTGTTTTGAAGATCATAATGCATGAGTAGGGTTATGTAAAAAGAGATGCTTCTTTAGGCGTAGGAATGCCAAAGTGTAATATCATATTTAAATGATTCTGAGTTGAATCCAGAAACCATATGAACAGTTCTATCCATGGCACACCCCCCAGCAGCAAGTGCTTGGAGTAAGGGAGACTTTGCTGATTCATTCTTCAACCTATATCTCTTTGCAACAGTGTGGTAAGTGGTTCACAGAGCTGCAGGAGGAAGGCAGAATATGAGGAAATTGCTTCTTCCCCTCATTCTGCCAGCAAGAGCCTTTGCTGAATTAATGCTTTTCATGAGGAATCCTTCTCTTATGGAAAGTTATGTCTGAGTCAAATTCAGTTTTGTTCCTTAAGAAAGTTTTGAGACCTCACTTCAATTCACAATCTAAGCAATTAATTTAACTTTTGTGGTGATTAAAGCAAAATTACTAGAACCTCTATGAAATAGCAATGATGGAATTGAACAGGAAATCCTAGTAGTTTTCTGGATAATGACACTCTGATGTCATTTTCCTTTGTAATAGAAATAGTACAGTGTTGGAAATTGAACATCATCTCTTCCCATTGTTCATCTCTTCAGATGCTTCACATTTGAAGCTCTGTCTAGGTTGACTGATTCATGTAAATAAACAAACAATTAAGTGAAAAACAAATTTTAAAAATAAAAATAGTGTTATTAAAAAGGACTATAGATGGCTAACCACTGTCTTAAAATCATTTGTTCTTCCCTACCTTAATGACTCTTCTAAAATGGCATCAATTATTACATGGTCATTGACTCCTCTAAAAACCAAGAGAATATAATTTCTTCTTCATGTAGATTGAATTACTGACTAAAACCTATGTTAAAACTTATGTTTGTTTTTTTTTGAGTGACAGACATCCCTACTGTATGGGAAGATCTGCTGTACATGTGTCACACAGTGACTGAAGTGTTGTTGCTTACTGTAGTAAGTCTCAGAATAGGCTGATTGAATCGGTGGCAATTTAGTGCGTCAACACACTTGCAAGTTCCAGTAATTCAAATTGGCATTCTCTAGTTGCGTCTTGCTGGTTGGATAGCTCAGTGAGGTATCTGGTTGTGCAGCTAGAGGCTGGGAGTTCAATTCCCCACTGTGCATCCCAGAAGAGCCAGCCTCTTTGGTCTCGGGCAAGGTGCATAATCCCAGGAAGCCCTCAGAAGAAGGGAACTTCTGAGTACTCATTGCCTGGAAAACCCTGGAAAGGGTTGCCATAGGTCAGAATGGATTTGATGGCATACAATTAATTAAATTGTGACTTACTTTGGTGTACTGTAGTAAGTTGCAACTAGAGTAGGGCCATTTGAATCAGCTGAACTTATGATGGAGTTGACTCACCAAATCTCCAGTGATTCAGTCAGCCTACTGAAATGTGACTTAATATACCAAGCGATAGGATTTCAGTCAGTGTGAGGGGACTTATTACTGTGCTTTATCTTTACCTTGGAAAGGGAGGGTTTTTTGGTAAGTGTAACAATTATACTTATGTGTTTTGATAATTTAATATTCTCCATTTAGAGGGGAATGATAGCAAAGGTGTCTTCTGTGAAATCCTAATGATTAAGACACTGTTTTGTGGAGATGTAGAAGGTCTGTCTTATGACTGTCTCAGAGTGCTCCCTCAGTTTAATTCCCAGTTCTGTACATTTGTTTCTTTGATCCTCTCTGATCCTCATATTTTTTGTAGGGGCCTGTAGAATAAGCCTCCACAGATTTTATGGGAAGCCATTTAAAAGTGCTAGTTTGGTAACATAGAATGCTGTGACCTCATACTCTAATTCAAATATTATCACCACTAAGTCTTGCAATAAACTACTAGTGTAAACAGTGCCCTTTGTTGACATACCAGAAATCTTAAAGCCTGACTTTGTATTTAATAATACTTGTGCTTTAGTATCATCATTAAAATAATTTTACCACATCCTAACATCTTGAATTTTATATTTTTACTCTGTAAATTGGGATGTATAAGAGAATTATGGTGGCACTTAGACGGAAAACATTAGAATTCATTGTTCTGCTTGAATGCTAAGAATGTATGGAATTAATTTGTGGTTCATATTTTGGTCATAAGTAAGGTCAAGTTTCTGCATTAGCATTCTGAATAGCTGATACCGTTCCAGCTTTAAAAAAATCATGCCAAATTAAATGTAGCATTTTCCTAATGTCGAAAATTGTTCTTGCAATGTTTCAGTTCTTTTAATCAATTAATTGCTTTTCCTCTAGAATAATTGCATGCAGCTGAAGATTGGGGTTCTTTTTATCCCATTTTACTTGAGCTGTAGCCTTATAGAGTTTTGCTTGAAAACAGCAACCATGTGTACACACAGTTGGAAATCACTAAGTAATGAAAGTTTCCAGGAATTTTTTGTTATAAGAAAATGAGAAGGAATTGTTTTGGCAGTTAAAGATGTCAAACCATGTAGAGCTAAATGCTGTTAGGTCTAAATGTTTAAAAATTTCATTATTCTGCTTTTAATTAATGCATTTTGTTAATCTGTCAGAATTACATTGTTGATCTGTTCTTGCTTCATTATGCACAGCAACCATAGCATAAATGAAAAGCGATTTTTTGCTTTTGTGACTGAAGTTCAGTTCACAAGGTTTGGTTTAAAATGTCCATCTTGTGAATTATTTCCTGTGCTGTTATAGGAAACTTAGACATATTCCATCAAGTTTGTAATCTCTGTTGCACCTGTGTATCTGTTAGTTTATCTTTTTCTATTATTGTTTATATAAGTAAGAATCTTTAAAATTTCTTTGATTTAAAAATACATAAATGCCAATACATAAATTGCAAGTTGTTATTTTCTAGTGTGCATAAAATGTCACAGATGTTTTAAACGCACCTGTTTCCTGCCTAATCATATTCACCAATAACAAAATGTATTTTGTTGTCATTTTTTCTACATAGGGATTAGAAGTAACATGTGTTTAATGCTAACATTTACTAATGATAGATCTTTCTTCATATTGTTACACAGCTCACTGAAATGCAAGCTGAAAGTAGTTACTACAGTCCACAGAAAGTAAAATCAAGAGAAGTAATATGCTGGGAACAAGAAGGAACTACAGTTGAGGTAATTTTCCATTACTTCTGTACATAGGATATAGTAAAATTCTTGACACAAGTGTATTTTCATCAGCATCATTATTTTGAGCTGGCAGTTATAATATTGATTTTATGTTCCTCTGTTATTGAATGGTTGTAACTGCAATAGGTCCGTTTTGGGGCTGCAGCTGTAGTACTATAAGCATCACGTTTTGAATTTTTTAAACCTGTTCTACATTACAAATGGTATACTGTACCACTTGATTCGCTTAAGTGCAAGTAACTGACAAGAGTACAGTGGTGCCTCGCTTGACAAGGATAATACGTTCCAGCAAAATCGCTGTAGAACGAAATCCTCGTCAAGCGAAATAAAAAAGCCCATTGAAATGCATTAAAACCTTGTTAATGCGTTCCAGTGGGCTAAATACCTCAGCGTCCAGCAAATATCCTCCATAGGGCGGCCATTTTCTGCTCCCTGTCTTGTGAAGAATCCGTCCTAAAGCACAGCGGGGAGCCATTTTACACAGCGGGCGGCCCTTTTGAAAACCCGACGATCAGCTGTTTTTGATCATTGGGAAGCGACTGTTGAGACTATTGGGACTGTATGTGACTGAAAGGAGGTCCCGCAACTCCGGGGGAAAGCACACCAGGAGAAAAGCTGCACAGCGGTTTGTGCACGCCGCAGCGTTTTGGCGAAGGCGTGTGGTTTTAAAACCTGACAGGGATTCCCTGGCTGCAGCATTTCTTCCCTTTTTCACCTTTCTCCCTTTGCTGCCCTTGTTTTAGTGAGGGCTTTGGCGTTGCTTTGGGAAAGGCTCGGATTCGCTCACTCCTACCGTCGTTTTTACCTCCCCCCACTTCTTGGAGAGCTTTAATTCATAGCCTTTTCATTTACCTTCCCTTGCCTGTTGGTTTTCGCTTGCCGCGATGGTGGCATTCTGCTCCCTGTCGCTGCCTCTTTGTGCCGAGTCATTTTGGTCTCTCCCCCCCCTCCACACTTCTGGGAACTCTGTACTTTATAGCCCTTGCCTGTTGGCATTGGCTGGCTGCGGCGGTGGCTCCTCTCCCATTTAACTCTTGCAGTTACGGTTGTCTGTTGGTTCCCCCCCGCCCCTTGCTTGCCTCCCTTGCTGTGGAGGCAGCGAATTTTTTCGCTCCCCTTCCCATTGTTGTGACACATAGCCCCAGTCTCTCTCGCTTACTGGCTGTTGCCACATGGGCAGCTAAAACTAGGAAGCTGTACGGCAGGGCAGTCATTTAGGGAACCGATCATAGTAAAGTGAATTTTCCCTATTTAAACATTGTTTTTGCGATCGCTATTGCGATCGCAAAAACCTCATTGTACAGCAGATTCATCGTACAACAAGGTAATCATTAAGCGGGGCACCACTGTAGTCTTCCATATAAATTAATCCATGGAGCTATTGATTTCATATATAGTAAGTACACAACTTTGTGATGGACCACATACATGAACATTTGAATATTGATTCTTTTCTAGCTTTTACATTGGCACAATGTCATGTTAAATTCTTTCCCCAGGTCCTCATGAATGGGGAACCTTTCTTTGATTGCCAGATAGGCTTTGTTGGTTGCCAAGCTCTTTGTCTTAAAGGCATTATGGGGATTAAAGACTTTGAGGAGAATATGAATAGAAATGATGCCGTAAGTACAAAAATTATATTTTACTGGATTACAGGTATTACTGTAGATGTTATACTAATATGTATTGTGACTGGGAAAATGCTTGTAGAATTCTTTGATAGATCTAGCTAGGAACCATAAATCCCCATTGCACATTCTAATCAGATTTGGAGGTCATGTCTCTCATGTAGGAATCCATCATCCTGCATAGCAAAGGGCTGTTGAAACTGAAACATGTTTTAGAACAGAGGTCTTAACCTTGGGTAATCCTGGTATTCTTGGACTGCAATTCTCAGACTTCACCACTGACTGTGGCTGAGGTTTCTTGAAGTTACAATCCAAGAAGCCTGGGTTACCGAAGACTGGAAACCACTGTTTTAGAATAATACTTACTGTAGTGTGGGGGTCTGAATTTTAAAGAAAATGAAAAATATTACTGGGCATATGTTAAAGACAGTCTTTGCCAGTGCCCACAGTAGATTTTTGGATCTCGTTCTTCCTGTTAGGGCAGGGGTCTCAAACTCAATTTACCTGGGGGCCGCTGGAGGCAGAGTCTGGGTGAGGCTGGGCCGCCTCAGATTTTCCGTCAAGCGGAGCAAGAGCCGGAGGAAGCTGCACAGGAGTTTCCTTAGCCTAGCTAAGGCTCGGAGGAGGGGGGGCAGGTGAGCCCTCGTCACGGGCGACGACCCCCTCCAGCTCCTTCCTCACTACCACCACCACCAGGACGAAGAAGCGGAGAAGGGAGGGAGTGCTGGCCGGGGGGGAGGAGGGCACGACATAATTTTTTTAAAAAAAACCTCACAGAATCGCCTTGCCAAAGGAGAAAAGCCCCCATTGGTACCTGTGAAATTAAACAGAACGGGGTGCCCCCCCACAGGTGCATGTGGGCACATGCACACACACAGTAGCATACACACATACACACTCACACACATCGAGGTCCAGCAATCTTCCTCTGAGGGCCCCCCTCAAAAAAAGGTGCACTCAGCAGCAGCAGCTACCCCCCACAACAACAGAGGAACAAACTTTGCAAGGTGAGCCCAGGCAGCCTCCAGAGCCGACGCGGCTGAAGCAGGACGAAGAGGAGGAGGAGGAAGCACCACTGGGTGTTGAGGCGGCCACTGGCGGAGCTGGTGCTGGGGGTGCCGAGAGAGAAAGAGAGCCAGAGAGCTGCTTCCCTGGAAGAGGTGGCTGCTGTGGCGGTGCTGTTAGAGGCGCTCTTTGAGGACAGGCTGGGAGTGAGCTCCGCTCTCAGGCATCGCTCGGTGGTGGCTCAGATGCTCGGGGGAAAAGGGATGGCAGTGCGTCTTGCTCGCCGGCTCTCCCCCAGAACAGCGCCTCTTGCACCCTCCATCCGTAACTGCTGCCTGCCTGCAGTTCCAGATGGAGGGTGCAAGAGGCGCTGTCTTGGGAGAGAGCCGGCGAGTGAGGCTTGGCTTTTTTTAAAGCAGAGGACATGTGGGCGCTTCGGGGGAGGCAGGCAAGGCGGGGGCCGCAAACTATCATCCGGCAGGCCGCAAATGGCCCCCTGGGCTGCATGTTTGAGACCCCTGTGTTAGGGTATGGCAGATCCTTTGTCTCCTATGGAAAATGAGAGAACACTTTCATCTGTAGACCTACCGTATTCAGAAATGCCTTATAGTGCATTTTGCACTTATCTTGTTTAGATTTGCTATATAGTTGCTCTTAAAGTTATTTGGCGGAAGATTCAATTATGTGACAAAGATTGCTATCCTGCATAGCTCCATGTGTCAAGATGACACAGTTGCTGAGGCAGCAGAGGGTTTCCAGCAACAGAGTTGCTCAGTTCCTAGGTTCAGTGTAGAGATGGGCACAAATATTGGTTCAGAGGTTCATGCTGGTTCATAAGTGTGGTGCCGTGGATTCCCTTCCTCCACCTCCCTGGCTGGATTCCCCCACCCACCAGCCTGAGCGTGCTTCTTACCTCCTCCTCATCGGCTGTTCAGGATATCCCTAGCAGGAGCATGGACTTCCATGCCCCATCTCCTTGGCTGATCACCCACTCAGACAAGGAGGTGGAACAGGCAAGCCCATGCTCCTACTGGGGACTGGCTGAAGAGCCAAAGAGGAGGAAGAGAGGATTGCACCTGGTAAGTGGGGCACTGGCCAGGGAGGCAGGGGAGGGAATGCATGGCATCTGTGGTGTGGCATGTACAAACTGGCATGAACCTCTGAACCAAGGCCTGTGCCCATCTCTAGTTCATATGACTTCACACTAGAAAACAGTGCAGTAATTACTAGAAGCCAACACAAATTTATCAAGAACAAATCCTGCAAGACTACTCTGATCTCATTTTTTGATCATGTAACCTCCCTGATAGACAGAGGGAATGCTGCAGACATAGTATATCTTGACTTCAGCAAAGCTTTTGACAAAATGCCCCATGATATCCTGATTAGCAAGCTAACTAGGTGTAGGCTGGATAGATCAAATGTCAAGTGGATACACAATTGGCTACAGAATCATACTCTGAGGGTGATGATTAACGGCTCCTTTTCCAACTGGGAGGAGGTCACAAGTGGGGTACCCCAAGGCTCCTCCGCTACAGCCGGCCGCTTCCCCTCCTCCTCGCCCTCCTCCTTGCTGGCCATAAACTTCCAGGGCGTGCCCGGGCAGAGCCCCGGGCAGCCAGCGCTGGCACCACAGCAGAGCCATCCACTCTATATTTTGAGTGGAAATGTTGGGGGGGGGGCATCTTATACGCCCAGTCGGTTTGTACGCTGGCAAATACGGTAGATAATACTTTGGAAGACAGAATCAAAATTCAAAATGATCTTGATAGGCTTGAGCACTGGTAACCAAACCTTATGAGGAAAGATTGAAAGAACTCGGCATGTTTAGCCTTGAGAAAAGAAGACTGAGGGGGGATATGATAACACTTTTCAAATATTTGAAAGACTGTCATACAGAGGAGGGGCAGGATCTATGCTCAATCATGTCAGAATGCAGGACACATAACAATGGGCTCAAATTACAGGAAGCCAGATTTCGATAGAATATCAGGAAAAACGTCCTAACTGTTAGAGCAGTATGACAGTGGAACCAGTTACCGCGAGAGGTGGTGAGTGCTCCAACTCTGGAGGCATTCAAGAGAAACTTAAGACAACCACCTGGCAGATATCCTTTGATTTGTATTCCTGCATCATGCAGGGGGCTGGACTTAATGGCCTTATAGGCCCCTTCCAACTTCACTATTTTATGATTCTATGAATGTCACACAGAAACTTGTTTTCTGTGAAGTTGATATGTAGACAAATCTGATTTGTTGCATAGTCTTGTGATGTTTTCATGTTATCTACTTTGGTCTCTGGCTAGGTCTCAGAAGTAAATTAGAATGACTGTGAATTTTTGTTTTAGTTTTCCTTCTGCCAGTTGTCATAAAATATGTGGAAAACACTTTCTTGAAATTCTTCATTTCTGCTGAATATTGTTTATTTATTTTGTCTTTATAAAAGGAGACCCATTTTTTCCATTGTGGTGAAAATTTGAGCACAAAAGGAATGACATACCTCACGAATTCACTATTTGATTACAGAAGTCCTGAAAACAATGGAGTTCGTGCAGAATTCATTTTGGATGGAGCTGCTCATAAGGTCTTTCCCTCCCTCCCATTTGAATTTTTAAATTAACTTTTCTCATCATGTGGCTCAGTAGGTGTGGCAATGAACTTACGTATTGTTTCTTCCACTATATCTTATCTGTTAATGACTTACGAGTAATCTTCGTACCACAAGAAGTATGTATGATCTATGCTACAGTGAGCTGTTTGGATTTATGTTCACTTCAGTGCATGTAAGCATTACTATTTTAAGCTTTAGTCTTCTTTTAACTTAGTGTTACGGAGCTAAGTGGGATTTATCTATGGAAAAATTAGCAATTGAATAAACTGCTGTTCATCCTTATAGAATTGAAACTGAAGGAGCAAATACATAAAAGAGGCATTCTTGACTAATGGACAGATATTTCAGTCTGGGCTGTAAAAACCTTGGTTCAAATCTAATAAGTTCTGAAACTGAGTGGCCGGCTGTGGGCAGATTCCTCTCTTTCAGCATAATAATAATTGTCAAGTCAATTCTTCCTTGTGGGAACACTTTCCATGGGTTTTCTAAATAGAAAGTACTGTACCATTGCCTTCTTCTGGGGTTGTCCTGGGACTGTGGAGCTTGCCCAAGGCTGCACATACTGGCTGTATTCCCAGGTGTCACATGGGGAGGGGAATCAAACTCCTAATATCTGGCTCTGCAGCCAGATACCTAACTCACTGAGCCAGCCCTCTTTCAGCATACACTGCCTGAAATCCTGGTACGCAGTTTCCTGTGAGGCATATGAAGGAGAAGAACTGGATCAGAAAATCACAGCATAGAAGTACTGTTCACCAACCAGTCCTGCATGTGTGCTATGTAACAGATGCCACAGGAATCACACAACTGATCGTACTATTCTCATTACCTAGGCGTAATACCTCAAACACTTACACAAGCATAGTGTTACAAGTATATTACTCAAAGGCAAACAAGAATCCAGCCACTACCATATATATTTCTTCTGCTTTTCGAATGAGTTCATTGCAAGAAAGAGAATGATGTGAAAAATTTAAAGTAATTTTAACCATAGGACCTATTCACTATACATTTTTAGACTCAGGAATGGATATCAGATTATGAACTCCTCTCAAATATAGAGACACATATAAAACTACATATACCTTTCTTTAAAACATTCAGAAGTGGTGACATGTTTACTGCTTTCAAGTACTTTGAGGAGACTACATTTTTCATGTGCACCCTTTTTGTTTCAAATGCACATGTGTCCCTAAGTAAAATAGCAAATGTGAGAATGCAGTGGTTACTCCTCTGAACCAGATCCATACACTGAGTGTCAGGCAAAAACCTTCCAAGTTAAAGAAAAATATATAGCAACTCTGTTTAATCTTCTCTTACTCTACAGCCCATTGTTCTTGTATTTGATATTTTCTAACATACGGGAGGTGCCTTTTTTGGTTAGAGCCATGTCCCATCTCATTCAGCAGATTGGTATGTGCCCTAATGAAGTTTCCAGTTTATGGTGACTTTCTGGATTAATGACTTCCCAAAGTTCTATCATGAACAGGCCTATTCTGATCCTGCAGACTAAAAGCCATTAGTTTACTAAGTCCATCCACCTCATGTTAAGTCTTCCTCTTTTCTTGCCACTTTCAGTTTCCTAACATGATCATATTTTCCATAGTTCAGGAAACTGCTCCCCAGAAATGGAGCAAGTTGCTGCTAATTATTCAGTTTTATACTACCTCTAAATATATATAAGCTTCAAATATCTATCTTAACTAAAATGTTTCATAGTCTTTTCCTCCATGATTTTTCTAGCTACCTTTTATAAACACCTATAGACGGTTATCACATCATGTAAAAATGAACTACATAAAACTGAGAAATACTTTGGTTTATTTAACCTGACTATATTATTATTCAGCTTCCTTAGACAATTATTGTCAATCCTCCACTTTCTCCACAGAGTATAATTTCATGATTTATGAGCACAAAAGGAATCGTTTTGTTCTGCCATAGTTGCATTCCTGCAAAAAGCAATCAGTGTCAGTTGTTCAGGCCTCATCAGTATATTTGTGAAGCTATGTCTTCCCCTTCCCTCTGTGCCATCATTTCACATCTACTTAAATTGAATGTATATTTATCATTTTCTTTCATTCTTACCTAGTTTGGAGATTCATCCACTTGGATTTTTCACCATCCTGAATAATTTAGTACATTGATACCACATCATTGCTTATTCTTAAGTTCATATCATTTTGATTAAGTTGTAAAACAACCTGGTTGCACTACAGATGTTTAGGATATACTACTTATTTCTCATTGTGAAAATTGTCCATTATTTTAATGATGGTCTTCTCGGCTTCAGAACAGTAGAAGGAAGAGAGAGAGAATCCATGCATCTAGATATGGGCAACAGACCTATCTTGTTAATGCTACAAATTCTCTAACTTTATTGGCAGTAAAATGACCTAATGTCAACCAAGTCTCACAACATTATGAGAATGTTATTCATATTTCATTGCTTCTGGTAAAGCTACGTATATTTCCTGAAGTGTTCCGCTGGTTGCAGAGGCTAGATTTCTAAATTTGCATGAGTCAGCTAATTTACTAGTTAGAAAGAGGTCACACTAAGATACTGATTAACTAGGTGCTATTGGTAAAAGCAGTCAAACATCCAAAAAGGTTGTAGATCTTCTTTTTTTTGTAGCCTGGTGTAGATGTATTAGCTATCTGAAGGATGAATTCTTTGGCTAACCTCTGTCCTTTGTTTTGATAAGCTCTGGGTATTCACACACAAACCTAAACAGGCATATATCTCCAGTATCTGGATATAGCTCTGCTATCATTGAGTTGTAATCTCAAAATTCTTTCCTAACAGAGCTTTAATTGTATGTACTTTGCTTTGTTGGTAGGAGATGTACACAGAGATAGCTGGAATGCAGAGGTTTGGGGCTTTCTATATGGATTATCTGTACACAGTGGAGAGCACCAGTGGCAAAGGTACTTAATTTCTTTGTTTGCTTTCTCTTTAAATAATAGAAACAAAGGCTTCTTCAGAGGCACCTGACAGTCCTTGACCGGCTGTCCTCAGATTTACCTTTTTAAAAAAGCCAATTCAGAATTTGCTGAAATTTTAACAGGCTTGTTTATCCATCCATCCATCCATCCAGTTCTTTCCTTGTTCTCAGTTTTCTGTTCAAAATATGCTGTGACGTGAGAGATTACTTTCTATTATTTGGTTATTATCATATGAATTTTAGACTGAAAAAAGTAGGTTCAGATCCACACTCTGCAGTACAAATTTAGGTTGCTGTGTATCAGGAAAAAAGTTCTGTGGTACTTTTAAGGCTAACTGTTTTATGTAAAGTGAGCTCTTCATGAATTATAGTGCCCTTTAGAGGCAAGGAGTACAACATTCAGGCCACAGGTTTATGTACACAGTGTACATGGTTGTCTGTGAGGACAGGGATCAGAGTGAAATGGGATTTTTTTTTCTTTTTGGTTACACATGCTGCAGCAAACACAACTACATTTTTGAAAAATGTTGCATTTGGATTGGTGTAAGGTGAAATTTGGGGATAAAAAGGGATAGCCATGCACACTATTGAGCTTTTTGAAAGATGAGTTAAAAATAAGCACAACCCTGTTTCTGTTTACTTGAAGGCATACTTAGAACAAAAGAGTTGAAAAGATATCAAAAGTCATTTGCATCTCTTACTAAGCTGCTTTGGGTCCTTTTAAGGAGAAAGACGTTAAAAA